AAAATTAAATAAAAAATGTTTACGTAAATTCCTATCACTGGCAGGCAATAGATAATTTTTTGATGGCGATTTAAAAAGAAGTTTAAAAAATATTTCATTTTGAATGAAGAAACATCAATACACCACAATTTTAATATGTTACTGGAAAGGAAAAAAATATGCAGTGTGCTAAAGAGACTTAAAGGTTAAAACGCAAAAACATTAAATCATGTGATCACCACAGAACCTATACCAATGAGTTATAAAGGTGAGTGAATACATTACTTTTTGTTTAATTACGTAATGTAAACTGGGAAAAATCTTAATTCTCAATCTTACTGATATTACAAATGCGAAAGTTTGTGTATGTCTGTTACTCAATCGCGTTCAAACGACTGCAGGGATCAGGTTGAAATGTGGAACAGGGATTGATCATGGTGTGGCAAAACACATAGACTACTTTTTATGTAATGAGAGCGCAGAGGGCGAGGGCGCGGGCAAAGCCAGTAGCTTATAAATACTTTTATTTACTTACGCTTATGACTGTTGAACTGAATAGGTAATATCAACCCCTCGAGCGCCCTTATGAGCACCCGGTGGATCATAAGAAAAATGCTCCATGCTGCTTCTCTTTTATAAAATCTATTATTAATGTTTTGTTTTTATTTTGACTGTATTTTTTATTTCTATTGTAATGATCCTTGTTTTCGTGTGCCAATGGCCAAATGAATGCATTTTTTTTCTTTCTTTCTTTCTCCAAATGTCACGTGTGCACCCGTTGGATCATAAGGAACTCGGACGCTCGACGGGTTAAGTTAACATTACATTCAAGTAGGTACTACATACATGTACATACAGGTGTAAAGAAGGGATAAAATACAATTGAAACAAAAGATACTTTTTTAAAATACACTTTATTGACGTTCTTTATTGTAGAATAGTACGCAAACATCACTCGATCGTTCGATCATATTTAGTTATGGATTCTTTACAAGTCACTTTGAGCATAATCATAATAGGTATGATTACAATAATAATATGTACTATAGCTAAATCATACTTCGGTTACTTGGACATGACACCTGTAGTCGAAAACATAAAATCGAGTGGGAAATGCAATTCTGGATCCAATAAATAATTATGTTACAATCTCATAAAACGCAAATTAAAATATTTTTCATAGATGAACACATTTTTCTCTTTGGATAAACAAAAGAAAAACCAGAACACTAATCGGGTAATTATATACAACAATATATTGTTAATCAAACTAAATAATGTGTTCACTTGTCGTAAATACAACGTTCAACAAATAAATCTGAGTGAAACTAAAATAGTATAAATTAAATAATGTACCATTCGACTCATGGGCGCCATCTATCGGTCACAATGCAGGACAACTTGTAAAGCAAGATCTATAAACTTTCGTTACAACTTAGGCTTCTAGTTACAAGTTACAATGGGCTTTATCAACTACGTCTTTAGATTTATATCGCTAAAGTAAGGTGATCCAGCCTCTTCGAGTTAATGAAGTGATCCGGGGGCCTAAGTTTAGTATGGAACTACATAGCACCATATCTGAAAAGTTGCACTGGTAATGTGCTGAGTTGCAGATGTAGCGCCTTCCAAGTGAAATGGTACATATAGGAACATAAATAATGTAAGGACAGTTTTGTTAATTATTGCAAAAGCTGTAGGTAACGTTGTGATGGGCTTTCTTGTAAATGTTAGTACAGCTGCTCGGCCGAGTACGTCTTGCTTGTTAAAATTGGAATTATAGCATTTACTTGTATTAAATCATAATTATCATTTTATAATATTAATTTCATCTGAATACAGAATATATTTTTACAAAATGTAGGATTGTTCTCTGAACACAAAGCCGTCCAACCAAAGCAGCCGAATGGTATATTAACTCAAAATAGAAATGCGAGATATATAAATACAAGCAAATCAGTAATGTAGCGGCATTTGTATGTATAGGTAGATAAGTAGATCGTACGTAAATCAATTACAGTTACAACAATAATCATTTATAAGTATAGTTTTAGACTAAAAGCGAATATTTACAAAGAACACGCCATTTACTAGCTATTATACCTGCCTCCCAACATGGCTCGCGCGCGGCGTCCGACGTACCGAGTTGTTCAATTTAATAATTTCCTAATATTTTATAATTTAATTATATTTCCTAATATATATATTTAAGTAAGCGTACATATTTTTGGTAACGAATACGAAAATTCCCGCACCCTTTAATAAATTATAATCTTATCAATAAGAGATACGCTTGATGTAGAGGCCGAGTAACACAAGTACCCAAGTACCGGCCGGAGCCGCGCGCGCCTGCCTCCCTAACTTTACATTAGCCAGTCTTTCGGTTCCACTACTCTACTCTACTCTATGCGCGCTCCGCCCCCGGCATACTCCCGTAGCCACAACGGGACCAGTGTCGCGAGTCACCGAGCTAGTCTCTACTCAGATCTATACGCACGAGATGAAACATTACAAAAATATGATCTCCCGGTTGTGAGCTACACAAAGTATGTGACACACAGTTTCCTCCGACACACGCTCGCGGTTCCTTCACCGAACATCGGTCGACGCGCTGCAGGGACCCACGGACTGTTCGCATCGTACTATCGCAAATATCACAAACAAGGTACAAAATAAAAAGACTTGTAAATCTCAGGGAATTGGTAAGGGCATAGTAGGTAGCACTGAAACCAACAAGTGGGTTAGAACTGATGAAGCAAAAGACATTGAAATGGATCGAATCTGTACCGACGCGAACATTTGTATCGACTAAGTCCCTTCGCTAAGTGTACCGATATATTTGATTGAGAATGGAGGCGGTTGTATTGTCAATGGCAAGCTGATTTACTTGTGGAATACTTATGTTTTGGACTGGAAGGTTTAGTAACTAAGGTTTAGTTAACTGTCGTTTGAAATTAAAACGAATCGTTGGCACCTCATATATTTGGCACCACTAGCGTCAAACAAACGTGAAACTAGGTGTCCCTTGGTTTGTACGTAACTTACGGATTAAGATAATTTTAGGAGCAGTCACATCACATCACGAACTTGTTAGAAGTTAAAGGTAAAAAACGTCACAATTCGTAAGTTACTTGCATTCAAAGGGACAGAAGCTTAATTTTGTTTCAATAAATAATAGTGTGTCAGCACCAAACTGTCGAAACATAACGAACTAGGAACCGGTGCCGCTGCGATACTATGTACGACAATATACACAATAATACCACAAACATAACTACACAACTTACTATTCATAAGAAGCGATAAACGGACTAAAATATAATAAAAAATGTTCAATAAATCCAAACAACGTAAACTTATGGAAATTACTAAGAGTAATAAAATACACCATGTAAAGTTGTGTAGTTCTGTTTGTCGAGACAATACAATATAGCAAATTTTATACAATGCTGTACATACATACTAGCACCACTATAGCTTTACGTATAATAACTGAAACATCACCGTATAAAACCAAAATGTATGTGTGTAAATGCAAAATATTATATTTCAACAATGGCTCTTGTATTGACGTATAAGAAGGTAATTCGATCGGACTCTGTGGATACTAAAAATTTTATTTAATGTTGTACCTAACTATGCAAATTTATTTCGTATAAATCTAATGGTAGTTTTAGATTCCTTAACATCAATACAAAATCCCAGAAATGATTAAATTACATTAAAACATCACAAGTTTGGACAATTGACTTTAACCACGCATACAATATGTGCCTGGACGCCTGGAGCCCGGCAGTACCGCGGCCGCCCGGGCAGCGCCAGTGGGTAGTGTCGGTACAGACGTCCTCAACAAAACAATCCTACGATAAGCGCCTCATACAAAATCTTAACAAATTACTTGACTGTAGTCAACAAACCAAGTCCAATGACACCTCTCGGTAGTAAAAAGTAATAATAATCGACGCGAGTACAGTACAAATTTCAACCTTATCTTCATAGTGAGTATGTTCAATTTTCCGTATACTTATTATTTATAAACATCCATAAAGCTCTAAGAGGAAGCCTCACTATACATATAATTAAAAGTAAACGTTTAATTTAAATATTTTTTCTTTTAAATATCATTTATAACATATACACATTCATACAAAATTCTACATCACTAAAGCATACTCGATGTTCGAACTAAATTATGAACCGTTCCGAATCTTCAATAATTTTACAATTTTTACATACATGTTGTCTTAAAGAGAACTTATAATTTTTACAATTTTCTTTAAGATAGCGCATCAATTTATTTAAATGAACGATTCGGCTGATCGGATTTAGATTCACACTCGACTAGTTAGTTTTTGGGAGGTGAAATGCAATAGTAGAAGGTACCTAACTGTTACATTACTCACTTAGTGGTTCAATCAAGTAATTGGTTGCCGCACTAAGTACGCAATGTACGTAACACTGCGCTACATTAACACTACCAAATACCTCCGCTTCAATTTCGTTTGTTTCTGGAACTGTCGTTGAGTAAACTTGTGACCAACGTGGAAGATTTAAGATGAACACTTGTTTATGCGGGGATTCTCGACCTATTATAGGAAGCTATAATAAAAAATGGTTCTATTTTATTGAAAAACTGTAGAAATTACGTTACATTTGCACATCTTAGGATCTAAATATTAAAATAATAACTATTAAAAACGAAACTGACGATCCCCGCTTAAACAAGCTTTAAGTGTGAGCCGTTAAACATTCTGCGGAATACATTCAATCGGTACCATATCATACTTACGTAAAAATACATGATACGGCAATACAAAATCTCATAAGACCCATCATTTCTACGTATAAATATGCGTTAACTCTAATCTAAAGACTACTGCGGCCGCGGGCTCGGCCCTGACGTCCCGCGACGCCGACGTTCAGTTCAAGTCCGGTTCCGCAACTAGTTGACTAAAAACCTTGTTTAAATATCGATAAAGCTAAGTGCTCCGGAAGTATGGACATACGTACGGCGCAGTAGTGCACTAGCTGGCCAGCTGCGCGCGCGCCGGGTGACCGAAACTACCGCGCAGCGACTCCTCCATCAGCCGACACAACTTGTCGCGGTCCGCCTGCAACACATTCTACATCGTACACAGCGCACTCTGGCGGACACAGCTTGTCGCGGTCCGCCTGCAACACATTCTACATCGTCCACACAGCGCACTCTGGCGGACACACTTGTCGCGGTCCGCCTGCAACACATTCTACATCGTACACAGCGCACTCTGGCGGACACAGCTTGTCGCGGTCCGCCTGCAACACATTCTACATCGTACACAGCGCACTCTGGCGGACACAGCTTGTCGCGGTCCGCCTGCAACACATTCTACATCGTACACAGCGCACTCTGGCGGACACAGCTTGTCGCGGTCCGCCTGCAACACATTCTACATCGTACACAGCGCACTCTGGCGGACACAGCTTGTCGCGGTCCGCCTGCAAACATTCTACATCGTACACAGCGCACTCTGGCGGACACAGCTTGTCGCGGTCCGCCTGCAACACATTCTACATCGTACACAGCGCACTGGCGGACACAGCTTGTCGCGGTCCGCCTGCAACACATTCTACATCGTACACAGCGCACTCTGGCGGACACAACTTGTCGCGGTCCGCCTGCAACACATTCTACATCGTACACAGCGCACTCTGGCGGACACAGCTTGTCGCGGTCCGCCTGCAACACATTCTACATCGTACACAGCGCACTCTGGCGGACACAGCTTGTCGCGGTCCGCCTGCAACACATTCTACATCGTACACAGCGCACTCTGGCGGACACACTTGTCGCGGTCCGCCTGCAACACATTCTACATCGTACACAGCGCACTCTGGCGGACACAACTTGTCGCGGTCCGCCTGCAACACATTCTACATCGTACACAGCGCACTCTGGCGGACACAACTTGTCGCGGTCCGCCTGCAACACATTCTACATCGTACACAGCGCACTCTGGCGGACACAGCTTGTCGCGGTCCGCCTGCAACACATTCTACATCGTACACAGCGCACTCTGGCGGACACAGCTTGTCGCGGTCCGCCTGCAACACATTCTACATCGTACACAGCGCACTCTGGCGGACACAGCTTGTCGCGGTCCGCCTGCAACAACATTCTACATCGTACACAGCGCACTCTGGCGGACACAGCTTGTCGCGGTCCGCCTGCAACACATTCTACATCGTACACAGCGCACTCTGGCGGACACAGCTTGTCGCGGTCCGCCTGAACACATTCTACATCGTACACAGCGCACTCTGGCGGACACAGCTTGTCGCGGTCCGCCTGCAACACATTCTACATCGTACACAGCGCACTCTGGCGGACACAGCTTGTCGCGGTCGCCTGCAACACATTCTACATCGTACACAGCGCACTCTGGCGGACACAGCTTGTCGCGGTCCGCCTGCAACACATTCTACATCGTACACAGCGCACTCTGGCGGACACAGCTTGTCGCGGTCCGCCTGCAACACATTCTACATCGTACACAGCGCACTCTGGCGGACACAACTTGTCGCGGTCCGCCTGCAAACATTCTACATCGTACACAGCGCACTCTGGCGGACACAGCTTGTCGCGGTCCGCCTGCAACACATTCTACATCGTACACAGCGCACTCTGGCGGACACAGCTTGTCGCGGTCCGCCTGCAACACATTCTACATCGTACACAGCGCACTCTGGCGGACACAGCTTGTCGCGGTCCGCCTGCAACACATTCTACATCGTACACAGCGCACTCTGGCGGACACAGCTTGTCGCGGTCCGCCTGCAACACATTCTACATCGTACACAGCGCACTCTGGCGGACACAGCTTGTCGCGGTCCGCCTGCACACATTCTACATCGTACACAGCGCACTCTGGCGGACACAGCTTGTCGCGGTCCGCCTGCAACACATTCTACATCGTACACAGCGCACTCTGGCGGACACAGCTTGTCGCGGTCCGCCTGCAACACATTCTACATCGTACACAGCGCACTCTGGCGGACACAGCTTGTCGCGGTCCGCCTGCAACACATTCTACATCGTACACAGCGCACTCTGGCGGACACAACTTGTCGCGGTCCGCCTGCAAACCTTCTACATCGTACACAGCGCACTCTGGCGGACACAGCTTGTCGCGGTCCGCTGCAACACATTCTACATCGTACACAGCGCACTCTGGCGGACACAGCTTGTCGCGGTCCGCCTGCAACACATTCTACATCGTACACAGCGCACTCTGGCGGACACAGCTTGTCGCGGTCCGCCTGCAACACATTCTACATCGTACACAGCGCACTCTGTCGGACACAGCTTGTCGCGGTCCGCCTGCAACACATCTACATCGACAGCGCACTCTGGCGGACACAGCTTGTCGCGGTCCGCCTGCAACACATTCTACATCGTACACAGCGCACTCTGGCGGACACAGCTTGTCGCGGTCCGCCTGCAACACATTCTACATCGTACACAGCGCACTCTGGCGGACACAACTTGTCGCGGTCCGCCTGCAACACATTCTACATCGTACACAGCGCACTCTGGCGGACACAGCTTGTCGCGGTCCGCCTGCAACACATTCTACATCGTACACAGCGCACTCTGGCGGACACAGCTTGTCGCGGTCCGCCTGCAACACATTCTACATCGTACACAGCGCACTCTGGCGGACACAACTTGTCGCGGTCCGCCTGCAACACATTCTACATCGTACACAGCGCACTCTGGCGGACACAACTTGTCGCGGTCCGCCTGCAACACATTCTACATCGTACACAGCGCACTCTGGCGGACACAACTTGTCGCGGTCCGCCTGCAACACATTCTACATCGTACACAGCGCACTCTGGCGGACACAGCTTGTCGCGGTCGCCTGCAACACATTCTACATCGTACACAGCGCACTCTGGCGGACACAGCTTGTCGCGGTCCGCCTGCAACACATTCTACATCGTACACAGCGCACTCTGGCGGACACAGCTTGTCGCGGTCCGCCTGCAACACATTCTACATCGTACACAGCGCACTCTGGCGGACACAGCTTGTCGCGGTCCGCCTGCAACACTTCTACATCGTACACAGCGCACTCTGGCGGACACAGCTTGTCGCGGTCCGCCTGCAACACATTCTACATCGTACACAGCGCACTCTGGCGGACACAGCTTGTCGCGGTCCGCCTGCAACACATTTACATCGTACACAGCGCACTCTGGCGGACACAGCTTGTCGCGGTCCGCCTGCAACACATTCTACATCGTACACAGCGCACTCTGGCGGACACAGCTTGTCGCGGTCCGCCTGCAACACAGTCTACATCGTACACAGCGCACTCTGGCGGACACAGCTTGTCGCGGTCCGCCTGCAACATTCTACATCGTACACAGCGCACTCTGGCGGACACAGCTTGTCGCGGTCCGCCTGCAACACATTCTACATCGTACACAGCGCACTCTGGCGGACACAGCTTGTCGCGGTCCGCCTGCAACACATTTACATCGTACACAGCGCACTCTGGCGGACACAGCTTGTCGCGGTCCGCCTGCAACACATTCTACATCGTACACAGCGCACTCTGGCGGACACAGCTTGTCGCGGTCCGCCTGCAACACATTCTACATCGTACACAGCGCACTCTGGCGGACACAGCTTGTCGCGGTCCGCCTGCAACACATTCTACATCGTACACAGCGCACTCTGCAGTACGTACCTCGTGTATGAACCCGAGCTGCACGAGTTCGTGCGCGAGCGCGGCGGCGGTGTCGCGGCGGGACACGGCGCACGTCAGCTGGCGGTTCATCTTGTCGTCCATGCGCAGGAGGATCGTCATCTGGAAGGAAAGTACGCAAACAAATTACTGCATCACAGGATAACGTTCAAACGTTACACACAATATTTTACTGAATAAATTGCTTCTAAATCGGGGTCGATACTAATTTTGTTGGATTAGGTGTTTTTTTTTTTTTTTTTTTTTTTAAGGGGGGAAAATCATCGAATGACTGCTCCCGCCTGGGTGAAATCTTGGAAATATGACATATACGTCATGATGACACGAGCGCGTACATGTTACTTTTAATGTGGTGGGGGTACGGGGGATGCGAGTACAGTATGTACTCACCAACAGGTCGGCGGGCGAGGTGTCGGGGCGGGGGTACAGTATGTACTCACCAACAGGTCGGCGGGCGAGGTGTCGGGGCGGGGGTACAGTATGTACTCACCAACAGGTCGGCGGGCGAGGTGTCGGGGCGGGGGTACAGTATGTACTCACCAACAGGTCGGCGGGCGAGGTGTCGGGGCGGGGGTACAGTATGTACTCACCAACAGGTCGGCGGGCGAGGTGTCGGGGCGGGGGTACAGTATGTACTCACCAACAGGTCGGCGGGCGAGGTGTCGGGGCGGGGTACAGTATGTACTCACCAACAGGTCGGCGGGCGAGGTGTCGGGGCGGGGGTACAGTATGTACTCACCAACAGGTCGGCGGGCGAGGTGTCGGGGCGGGGGTACAGTATGTACTCACCAACAGGTCGGCGGGCGAGGTGTCGGGGCGGGGGTACAGTATGTACTCACCAACAGGTCGGCGGGCGAGTGTCGGGGCGGGGGTACAGTATGTACTCACCAACAGGTCGGCGGGCGAGGTGTCGGGGCGGGGGTACAGTATGTACTCACCAACAGGTCGGCGGGCGAGGTGTCGGGGCGGGGGTACAGTATGTACTCACCAACAGGTCGGCGGGCGAGGTGTCGGGCGGGGGTACAGTATGTACTCACCAACAGGTCGGCGGGCGAGGTGTCGGGGCGGGGGTACAGTTTGTACTCACCAACAGGTCGGCGGGCGAGGTGTCGGGGCGGGGGTACAGTATGTACTCACCAACAGGTCGGCGGGCGAGGTGTCGGGGCGGGGGTACAGTATGTACTCACCAACAGGTCGGCGGGCGAGGTGTCGGGGCGGGGTACAGTATGTACTCACCAACAGGTCGGCGGGCGAGGTGTCGGGGCGGGGGTACAGTATGTACTCACCAACAGGTCGGCGGGCGAGGTGTCGGGGCGGGGGTACAGTATGTACTCACCAACAGGTCGGCGGGCGAGGTGTCGGGGCGGGGGTACAGTATGTACTCACCAACAGGTCGGCGGGCGAGGTGTCGGGGCGGGGGTACAGTATGTACTCACCAACAGGTCGGCGGGCGAGGGTCGGGGCGGGGGTACAGTATGTACTCACCAACAGGTCGGCGGGTGAGGTGTCGGGGCGGGGGTACAGTATGTACTCACCAACAGGTCGGCGGGCGAGGTGTCGGCGGGGGTACAGTATGTACTCACCAACAGGTCGGCGGGCGAGGTGTCGGGGCGGGGTACAGTATGTACTCACCAACAGGTCGGCGGGCGAGGTGTCGGGGCGGGGGTACAGTATGTACTCACCAACAGGTCGGCGGGCGAGGTGTCGGGGCGGGGGTACAGTATGTACTCACCAACAGGTCGGCGGGCGAGGTGTCGGGGCGGGGGTGCAGTATGTACTCACCAACAGGTCGGCGGGCGAGGTGTCGGGGCGGGGGTACAGTATGTACTCACCAACAGGTCGGCGGGCGAGGTGTCGGGGCGGGGGTACAGTATGTACTCACCAACAGGTCGGCGGGCGAGGTGTCGGGGCGGGGGTACAGTATGTACTCACCAACAGGTCGGCGGGCGAGGTGTCGGGGCGGGGGTACAGTATGTACTCACCAACAGGTCGGCGGGCGAGGTGTCGGGGCGGGGGTACAGTATGTACTCACCAACAGGTCGGCGGGCGAGGTGTCGGGGCGGGGGTACAGTATGTACTCACCAACAGGTCGGCGGGCGAGGTGTCGGGGCGGGGGTACAGTATGTACTCACCAACAGGTCGGCGGGCGAGGTGTCGGGGCGGGGGTACAGTATGTACTCACCAACAGGTCGGCGGCGAGGTGTCGGGGCGGGGGTACAGTATGTACTCACCAACAGGTCGGCGGGCGAGGTGTCGGGGCGGGGGTACAGTATGTACTCACCAACAGGTCGGCGGGCGAGGTGTCGGGGTGCGGGTGCGGGTGCGGGTGTGGGTGCGGCTTGAGGCTGCACATCATGTTGACGACGCGTCGTGTCTCCAGGTCGCGCGGCTCGGGCGACGCGGGCTGCGACTCGGCCAGGCGCTCGGCCGGGGACGCCGCGCGCCCCGCGCCGCGCCGCCGCCCGTACGCCGTCAGCGGGTAGATGCCGTACCTGCACACACGACTTCCTCAAACTCCTACTCCCGATACAAATGACGTGTGCTCTGTTTATGAGTCGCGAGTGCAGTACTGACTTGACGTCCTCGACGAACTTCTCAAGTTTCTCAGCGTGCGGCGGCAGGTCCCGCGCGGCCAGCTCGCGCCGCTCGCCGCCGCAGACGGTCCAGGCGAGCGCCTCGCCGCCGCTGCCGCCCGCCACCTCGTCCGTGATCGTCTCCGATATGTTCGCTGTCGACATCACACACGGATCCTTGTAATTATTTTGATCATGCGAATTACCACTAAATGTAGCCCATTTGGCAATGAAGCCGTTGCTAAATCAGATTAAAACTTTGTGTAACGATAATTACTGGTACAATAGATACCTATGTTCATTCATAAGCATAGTTTTCCTAAAATCAAATAAATAAACAAAACAAAAATGATCTCACCTGTAGTATTGACCAGAGTATGCGCCGCCAACAGTTTGAGCGAGTGAACCTCGAACAGTAGCGGATGGAAGAGCAGCTCGCGCGCCGTGGGCCGCGCGGCGGGGTCCTTGTTTATACACCTGCCGACACACGCGCGTTACTGCGGCCGCCTGCGCCCGCGCGGCCAGGCTCGCCGTGGGACAGTGTTTGTAGGGTTGCGTTCATTTAGAACCTTGAGTACTCACAACTCCTTCCAAGCAACGCATCGCTACAAACACTACGGGACGTCCCTGTATTATTTACCTGGTATAACTTTGACTACGGCGACACGTGAGCAGCCCATCTCTCTGTTCGTGCACCCATACAATGTAAGCGACTTACCGGATCGCCAACCTGTAAGACCAGTACCTGTATATAAAGTCCTTCTGGCGCGGCTCCTCCAAGGACTCGACCGTCCGTACGATGTGTTCCTCCGTGACGTGGCTGCCAGAGTCGCCATTGCCCTGAATCTCAAGTGCCGCTGTCTCCAATGCGCACATTCCGAATGAGTAGATATCCATCGCAGGCGTCACCATTTGTGATGCTGATACGGGGGAAATAAAGATGTCATGAATGCAAAAAAATGGACAACATAGTTTCGATTGCTTGGATTCTGGGACATGAACGAACACAATACATAATACACATTAACTTGACATATGGACAACATGTGAGCACGAACAAGTAACAGCTTTTTGTATGGTTTTCGTTGGGAAAACAATGAACTCACTCACAAAGTCATCTTTTCCCCTGGAAACCTCGTGCATAAATTTTTTATACAATTATTTACGTAGAAAATCCAGTTTCTATGTACTATGTAATGTAGTTCGCAGCCTTGACCTGTTTTAAAATTTTTTGTACTTGTAATTGTAAACTAGGAAAAGGCAGTCCGAGAAATCGAAAGAGTCGAAACTGTGTGGTCCTTTCTTCAGAATCATCTGAAGTTAATGGTACTTACATCCGTATTCCGGTGCAATAAAGTGCATGTTCCTCATGTTTTCGCGACAGGTCTTGACGTGATGATGGATGGCGTCGGGAGCGACCGAGCCGATCTTCACCAGTCCGTTGTGTTGGATGAAAATTGTGTCGCACGTGAGGTTCCCGTGCACGATGGGAGGCACGCAGCCGTGGAGATAACTGAAACGTGAATACATCCACGTGAGTGACAAGTCGGGGTGTACTAGATTAGAGCTCGAATTTAAATGAAGTTTTTAAAGTTTCGTTCAGGAACGAGATTTCTATATTCACATAACTTGTGCAATGTATTTCAATGATTTGTGTTACCTGAGTGCAGACAGTATCTGCGTGCACCATCTCTTCCACGCTTGCAGCGGTAGTCGCTTCACGTTCCGCTTGGTGCGCTTCAAGAACTGCTTCAAGGAGCCGCAGGACATGTACTCCGTTATGAATATTACCTGGAACACGCAAGGTTATACATGTAGAAAGTGTCAATAATCATGCCTCATTATCAAAGGTTACTCAGAAGGTATAGCACACACTTATTGTGAATAGAAGAAGTATCTATTGTAGTAGCCACTCAGGTTATTGCGCTAGATTAATTAAGATTTTTTCTGTAGCAATAATAGTACTAGTACTAGGTAGGTAGTACAGATATATTGTAGTGTATGCAAATATTTAGAAGAATTACACCAATCTCCACAATGTTTCCTAGTTCCACACATGACAGAGCAGTTATCTTACCCTAGGTTTGTCGTTGTGTGTGTCTGTCCAGTATCGGTGGAATTTGACGATATTGGGATGTTCTAGCCTGGTGAGGTTGTCGAACACCAGCTGTATTTTGTCCTCCTGCGCCTTGAAGTTCTTGCGCTCGGAGAACTGAACCTCGTTCCACACAACTTCGACACCCTCCTCCGTGTCCATGGCGAGGTTAGCGCAATCGATGCCGGGGACATCGCGTTGTTCCACCTGGAAATCAAGAAAAACACTGAATTAAAATTTGCTTTCTGGTTTTTAAACTGAAAGTTTCTAATGTAATGTGATTTGAATTTTTATCGCTTCGTCGTCGTAATCGAATCCAGTTTTCACAAGTGTATAAGCCAATTCGCCAACATCTGTTACTGTAATAGAGGTAAATTGTCGAGCAAACATATTCGGACTTCCTGCAGCCACAGAATAGACGGCCAATCATTCAATTGAGGCTCTTGACAGCAGATTGGGCCAATGATGACGTGGAGAACAACCAAATTTATTATCAAATGCCTGCGAAATATCGGAAAATTATTATCGTCATATTGGAAATTTCCATTTTGGTAATTAGCAAGTGACGATTAGCATTAATTTACCCCATGTGGAATTATACTCGCAATCGTTTTATCTTTATACTTATTGTTTGGATTGGATAAATTTTTTACATGTGAATAGTTTGTTTGCTCGTTTCGAATTACACTCGTGCTTATTTGTAATTGAATGATGAATCAATCTCGCACAGTTCAACCAACGAACATGACTACAGCTTGTAGTTTGAACTGGTCTAGGTACATTTAACAAATGAGTGCGATTAATCGCTCAGCGTCGGCGTCGCGTCCGTCGCCGCGTCTATCAAGAAATGTGCAATTAGCTCGTTATCGGTCAGTCACCCCAGTACTGCAATTGTATACAAGTCGCTATCTCGTGGTTATGAATAGCCTATATTTATTAATTATGATAACTGTGCTATTTGCGTGCGCACTAACACTAAACTATTGTTTTTGTTCGGTTATGGACGGCTATAATAAACCCGTAGTCTGCATTGGTCACGGTAGTTAAAGAGATATAACTGGCGATAAATTGGTTAATTAACTTAATGATTTATTGTTTTCATTATTATTCACATTACACTTTCCAAACCAATCGGATTCTGCTAAGAGACGTAAGCAGATGTGCATAGTTATTGAATGAAACATAACTTCTTGGCGACTTGCAATAACTGCACTTCTTAGAAAAGATCAGTCGCCCAATGGCCCAGCTCTGATAGATTTCAAAGTATTTGAATTTAATCCATTTTAAGTTCATCACATTGTGTCACATCTTTTAAATACCACACCACCAAAGCAGTGTTAAAACAAGTTATTATAATATAAACGGTAATCTAATAGTTGACCATTCTTTTAACATATTACATAATATTTTGTAAACGAACAGCAAACATACTCTAGTTGACGTACCAATCCACCTGGTACTATGGAATTCATAGTAATTAGGTACTCGATAGGTAGGTGCAGTTTACTAATATCACAAATAAAATCATCTCATTTCTCAAACAAAACTGACAAAAAACAACATGGTGGATGTAGTTACGATAATGATTCGTTAACAACAGGTCCTCATTGAATACAAACAAATACCTATTAAGAATGGGAGACCTTTTTTTGATAGCGTGCGGAAACCTTCAAAAGTCGCTTAGCTTTTTGGGTAGAAAGATTTGGGAGTGTGAGATTTGTATCTCACTAATAGATATATCACAATGATTTTCTAATTTAGTATTTCTATAATATTTTTATTTATTTATATTTATTTATATATACTTTATTGCACACACAGAAAAAAAAATTGTAAACATTGCAACAGTAATTAAAGTACAATGGGCGGTCTTATCACACGCGGCGATTTCTTCCAGACAACCTTTGGATGGAATTTTAGAAAAGAATCTGGGAATGGGTGGTAGATGCACAATAAAAATAAATCAAAATAGAAGGAAAGCAATAAAAAAAAAACAAATTAAACAATCAATGAAACTTACAGACTACATATAATACATAAAAGATAAAAATGGCAATACTATTTAATAAATATATACTTAAATGTAAAATGATAACTATATATAGTTGCGTGTATGTGTGTGTGTGTGTGGTGTGTGTGTGTGTATATGTGATGTGTTTATCCATAATGAAAGGACAAAAGCATAACTACAGTGACAGGTAGTGTTCCTTCACACGTCCTTTAAACTGACCCAGAGTTTGAGCACGTCGCACTTCCACCGGCAGCGCATTCCACAACCGAGCCGCTTGAATTGTGAAGGACTTGTCATAAAAGCAAGTGGAGTGCTTACAAATGCTGAGCTTAAGATTTTCCGATGATCTCAGGAACTTCGAATGTGTGACACCCAGGAACTGAAAACGTTCCTTTAAATAGAAAGGGGCAGCAGGATTAAAAAGTACATTAAATAGTAACGAAAGGATATGAGCGTTCCGGCGAAGGCGGATAGGCAGCCATTTGAGCTTACTACGAAATTCAGAAACATGATCATACTTGCGCAAACCAAATATAAATCTGATAGAAAGGTTTTGAAGGCGCTCAAGCTTATCCAATTGTTCTTGGGTGAGATCTAGATAGCTGACATCAGCATAGTCGAGTATTGGTAGAAGAAGAGACTGTGCAAGTGCAATTTTGGTTTTAGTGGGTAAGAAATTACGAAGACGCCTTAAGGAGCCCGCTGAAGCAAACAACTTTCGACTGACCACCTGCAATTGTTTATTCCAGGAGAGGTTACTGTCGATGTAAATCCCCAGGTTCTTAACATCGCGGGAGAAAGGAATTTTCGTATTTAGAAAAGAAACTTGGGGAAGACTTGTCCAATTCATTTTGGAGACGATACGCGCACTACCGATGATAGTCACCTGCGTTTTTGATGGATTTACCAGCAAACCAAATTTGGAACTCCAATCACCTATTCGTGCCATATCGTTGTTAATTAATGTACGAACAAACACAATATTTTATTTGTCTTTAGCTACACGCCCATCATCGTAGTTGGACTGCGCAGTACGGTGACGTCGACTGATAGTTATAGTTCATACTGCGCATGAGGAATATTTAACAACACATCTCTTGAATATTAAGAGTCGTCAAAGTCATCATTTAGATGGGCTTTGAAGGTAATTGTTATTTGTTGTCAAATATAATTAGGTACTATTTCGTTGTTACTGGTTACTACTAAAAATGCACAAACCACCTGTTGTCATTAAAAGTGCACTAAAGTTTAGTACATTACTGCTTACTCGTAAATCTATCTGTGACGCGTTGATCTAAAAAACACAATAAATGATGCGAACAGGTGCCAGCCACATTTTATGAATGAAATGAATGCTTTTAAATATTGTTGATTTTTTTCTGGAAAGTCTTATTTCTGTATGATTTTACTCAATGTTTTTAATATTAAGATTTCTGAATTTGAATTATATTTTAAGTAACTGTCAATCTAATAAAGAAATTAGCGAATATGTAGATTTTGTAGATGCAAAATACAGGAGGGAAAGCCTATTCGATTGCACAATCCATTTGGTCCGCATAAGCTTATCACATGCGCTGAATCTTAGTAAAACATAAACTTTCGCATTTATTAACGAAGATAATCTAGTACTCGTTAGTTAGGCGGGCAATACACCGGCCGACAATTTTGCCGTACGGACTGCGCCATAAATCGTGCGAAGAAAGCCGCTCGAAACCACTCGTTACTGGCGAAGCACCGAGTGGGCGAGCGAGTCCGCTGCAATGATTTAAGTTGCAGATTTTATACGGATACGTACATTTTACTGTCTGTCCGTAATCGCGAGGTGTGGCCGCAGACTTCCAACTTTATTGTTACGACGATATTTTAAATTGATATTATTGTATCTCCTGCGGTGGGAAGGGTTCGTGGTATTGCTTCTGCCAGCAACGCCGACTGGTGCTTAGATACCATGGTTTAGCATTTCATAGTAGTTATAAAATATGATGGTAATTGCACGTGGGAGGCCTAGGCAGGCGTGTGGCGTATGGACGTAAAAGTTAACTCAGACAATCACAGCAGATTTATCAAGATTATGTCTGTGTAACCTGTACCTACGTATCAGTCTCAGTTTGCGAGAACATTATAAGTGAATTCTTAGTTAACTGAAACAATTTTCGCGTGATACGAATATACAGCACGAAACGACACAAAGGGATTTTTGGGGTAACGATCACATTTTTCCTGAATTAGGAAGTTCCTTAGATCGCCCAAAACATTGAGGCTTTGTAATTTATGATATTTATAAAGGGCTCCATTCATAAACATACTAAAAACATGATAGCAGTTTTGGAATAACGGCAGATTGATTACAAACTACAACACAGACAAACAAATCGATTGAATGTAAATGAACGGACAATAAGACAAGTGTTTTCAAATTAAAATATCGCATTAACAGTGGAAATATTGATCTGGACGAAGCTACAGTTACCAACCAGTTACAGTTGGTATGCTTTGCCCTGGCACGGCGATAAGCCCGAACATTACGACTATCAGTGGATCGGAGGCTAAATGAACAAATAATTGAATACTTATCACTGACTTATTATAGATTAACCTCGGGATCAGGTGATGTGAACTCGGAGCTATAAATATGATCACTGTGAGATATAGTACCGAGAGTAGGAAATCTGAGTTCATGTGCTTTCGAAATGTTGATTAAAGATCGATTTTTGACATAAATAAGTAGTATGAAATTTCTGTCAATCTGGGATCGATCCAGAAATGTTGGATTAAAGTCGTCAATTGATTTCAGCCGTTCCGTTAGTCAGATTGCAGACTTAAAATCGTTCTCTGTAAATGCAATCTTAGCTGATAAGTTACCTTGTATTAGTATTGAAATGTAGTTGCATTGGCTTTAGCGGGACTTGTGTATCATAAATAGTTACGGAAACAGGCTTTCAATAAATTTATAGTGGACATTCATTTACTGTAATGCTTTCTGATATTCAAGCACTAGTCAGCGGATAAGTTTATGGTAATAACTTTATATGAATTGGTTTGCATTCAATGCAAAAATATCTATAAATTCCATATAAGGAATGGTGGCAAATTATGGAAACTGTCCTTTCAATATATCGATTTACGTGTTGACAATGGTATCTAATATGTTTGTAGTATCTCATGTACTAATATGATTATTTCATAATTATAGGTTCT